CCTCTTACCTGCCTCTTATGAGTTCTCAATACCTCCCAATATAGGACACTTGCCTAGAACCCCAAAACATTTCAAGTGGATCCAGGCTTTCCTTCACATCTGGCATCATGAGCCCTGGTTAAATGCTCCCCACCGCCCACCCCTACCTGTCCAAGATCAACATTCCAGGCAAATAATCAAAATCACATATACCTTACATTAACCAAGGGAAAAAACACACTTCAGTTAAAGGGAATGTAGGTTATCATCTTGTATAATATATGGTTGATCCTTGAACATCATGGGTGCTGACTGACTATGCAGCCAAAAATCCGAGTATGTATAACTAATAATTGGCCCTCTGGATCTGTGGTTTGGCATCCACAAATTCTGACTGCACATTTGGATGCTGGGGCAGTTGTCCAGATGGAACCTACTGCCACACACTAATGTAATGTCATATACATTCTCAAAGGCATTAGATGGTCTTTATTTCATTAGTTATTCCCCTTTCTTCAATCTGTCCCTCTCTATTGGAATCTTAGGGAGGAAAGTACAGTGGAGAGTAGGGCATTAAATTATTGTAAAATGATCGGGATTTGGAATACCTGACGCTCTTCCTTTCCAATCCACTCCAGTCTGTTCTCTGTGCTTCATATAATTTTTTTTTTAAATGGAGATCTTTAGGAAGAAACACATTTCTCATCAAGATCAAGGACATACATGCAAAAACTCTGAACAAAAAAATTTCTGAACAAAACTGTAATTCCCATATACTCTTTTGCAATGTGTGTATTTTATGTATTTAAGAAACCCAGATATTTTTGACTCACTATAGTGATTTCATAACTGACCGATGGATCATCACCTGTAGTTTGAGAACATATTTTTCTATCTGGCTATTAGAATGCTCTTTCCAAAATACAGTCATTATTTTCTTTAAAATCCCTCAATGGCCTCCCGCTACTTTAATGATAGAGTTCAAACTTTAATATGGCTTGTAAGATCCTCCATTCCCCAGCCCCTTTATTACTGTAGCTTCATCTGTCTTGGCTCTAACTGGTCCATTTTCCTTCTGCAATCCAACCATACTTACTTGCTCTCTGGACTCAGATGTATCTACTAATAGAATGCTCTTCCCCACATCCTCTCCTTGTAGCTAGTTTCTCCTCATTCTGTCTTTTCAGCTTAGACTCCACATCCCTCCGAATGCTTTCCCTGGACACCTGGCCCGGGTTAGGTGCCCCTCCCGTGTTCTTCTTTAGCACCCTGGCCTTCCTCAATGCCAGTGTCTGTCACCCTGCATTTCAACTACACCAGTACTCTTTAAAAGCAGGGACCAGGTTTTGTTCTCCATAGAAGATGTAGTAGGCTTTCAGTAAATACTGATTGAATAAATAAATGAAATTATATTATTGGGTTTCCATCTTAAGTGCATTGAGTGGATATTCCTGTACATTTGCAAGCTGTTGATTGTTTGGGTTCCTTCCCACCACTGTAATTTTCTGAAGAAGGCACAGGTCTGGAACTGAACTGTCTTCATAGACACCGCTTGTGTGCTGATTCACCGACAGTTTAGCTATGTGTGAAGCAACATGAAACACTGGGTTCAAGATTCACTAGATCTCTCATACTGAAACATAACCTAGCATCTCATAGTCTTAATTTCCTCGTCTGAATTCCAGTACCCCAGTTAACATTTTAAGCTTATTCTTCTTCAAAAAAGAGAGAAGATGACAAACGAAAGAAGGCAGGCGTGGATGAAGCGCTGCACGGGGCCCGTGGCACCCGTGTTCACACACACACCTGCATATAGCAGGGGTCCACGGCTCAGTGCAAGCGCTCTTCACCGCTATTTACCTGAGTTCTTTGTGATCCTGTAAGACATAAGAGTTTAATAACTTTATAATCACGTTGGATTTTTAAGACAAACTGAAGAGTTCTGATTCTCAGCTTGACCTTCCACCTCAAGAAGAGACTTTTTGTGCTCTATAAATTGAATGTATCTACTTGAAGTGTTGTAAGGGTTAATACTTTACTTCTAATTATGGTAGAATTGAAAACTGGTATATCTCTACTATGTTAAAGGGATTTATTGTAATATATGATTGCTTCTCTTTAATCAACAGGATTCAGTTCATATTTATATTATTTCTTCATTCTTCAATTATCATGAAACCACTCCAGTTATATTTTTGGTTATTATTTTACTACTCAGGGAAAAAATGAACAAAATAATTCTTTTTCCCACAGTTTTATTTTTTGAAACCATAGCAGTTAATTTATTTTGGTGTATCTCACCTGTCACCATTTTACAACTGGCTTTTTCTTAGTTTTTAAAATAAACATTTTTAATTGGAGCTCAGGGTAATTGAAGAAAGTTATTTAGCTTCTAAAATACCCAGTATAATAGAGAAGGTTTATTTGGCTTCCAAAATGTCCAGCCACCATTTATGCCTCCACTGTACTTTTGGTTAAAAAGTATTTTTGTTAATTGATTCCCACTATGTGAAATTCACATACAGGATTTCCACAGATACCAGGTTTGAGGAAAAAAATGGCAGCATTAAAGAATAGTTTTTAAATACGAAGGTAAGGGATTTCCCTGGTGGTCCAATGGTTAGGGGAGAAGGCAGTGGCAACCCACTCCAGTACTCTTGCCTGGAAAATCCCATGCATGGAGGAGCCTGGTCCGCTGTAGTCCATGGGGTCGCTAAGAGACACGACTGAGCGACTTCACTTTCACTTTTCACTTTCATGCATTGGAGAAGGAAATGGCAACCCACTCCAGTATTCTTGCCTGGAGAATCCCAGGGACGGGGGAGCCTAGTGGGGACGGGGGACCCCATCTGTGGGGTCGCACAGAGTCGGACATGACTGAAGCGACTTAGCAGTAGTGGCAGTTAGCATTTACCCTTGGATACACCCAGCATCCCAAATTCAATTTGTGTAACCAAAAGGGAAAATATAATAACATGCTCTTAGGACTGAGAAGCCAGTAAATTAAATAATATAAAAATGCTTATATAAAATAATACAAAAAATACTTTGCAGATTATGTTTAACTATTATATTATTTAGCTACCACATTCAAATGTGCATGCCTATGTCAGGTTATGCCAACACCCTGAATTACACTGAGTAAGGAGTGCAAGTAGGATGAAAACTATGGATAAAGGGTACATAGCCATAAATACAGATTATTCTGCATGATCAAACTTCAAAAATTCTTAGATTTAGCTATAATATGACCTATGATATCATGACTTTTTATTCAGAGAGCTTCTTCCTCAGAACCTTCCTGGCCTTTTAAAACTAAAATTTTACCAGTGTAATTCATTTAGTCTGCAATATCAGTTTTAGGATATTTAAAAAACCTCTTACAGGGAGAACTCCAAAGTCAGGTAAGTGGCATTAGATTGACATATGCTTAGTTGGTCAGTCGTGTCCAAATCTTTGCGACTCCATGGACTATAGCCTGTCAGGCTCCTCTGTCCATGGAATTCTCCAGGCAAGAATACTGGAGTGGGTTGCCATGCCCTCCTCCAGGGGATTCGAACCCAGGTCTCCTGCATTGCAGGCATTCTTTACTGTCAGCCACCAGGGAAGCCCTGATCGACATATGGTTGTGGTTATAGAAGGAATAACAAACAACCTACAAATGAAAAGAACAAGCAGTTCTTGTGGTCTCTGTCAGCCAGCCCTGCGGTGCTATCCAACTAGTTTTGCAACTAGATGATTATACATACCTGTCTTTACTTCTTTCAGACAGTTCTATAAAAATGGTGCAGCAGGATTTCTTCCTCTGAATGTTAGCATGCTACAAAATGCCCAAAGAATGAATTATGCTTCAAGCATTTTGGATATGACATGATATTGTGCTGATATAAGAATAAAAACTCAAACTGCCTAACCCCAAATCAGATTGGCACACTCAAAACAAATTATTTAGGAATATTTTTCTCATTTTTACCTCAGTTACCTTATAACCTAGTTCGAAGGTGGCAGAAATTCATCAAGGAATACAGAATCAGAAAAATAATGTAACAGATACATAAAAGTGTAATAAAGTCTTATAAATGTTTTAAGAAAGAATATAAACATTGTCCTTAACTTTCAGTTCATTCATTCACTTGGTATACACATCCCATTATTTTCCAGGCACCTGTCCAGTTGCTAGTGATATAATGGTAAAAAAGACAAAGTCCTGCTTATGTGGAGGTTACATTTTCTGACAAGAAGGGAAAAGATAAAAAGAACAAGTTGGGGAGGGATAAATTGGAAGTTTGGGATTGACATATATACACACTACTATATTTAAAATTGATAACCAACAAAAACCTACTGTATAAGCACAGTGAACTCCGCTCAATACTCTGTAATAACCTAAATGGGAAAAGAATTAAAAAACAAATAGGTATATGAATCTGAATAACTGGATCACTTTGCTGTACACCTAAAACAACATTGCAAATCAAATATACTCTAGTACAAATAAAAACTTTAAAAAAAAGTAAATAAGAATTTCAGGTACTGATACATGCTATAAAGAACATGAAATAAGTGATATAAATAAAACTGCCTGGACATGGTAGGGACTAGGAGTATGCTTCTGGAGTCATAATGTTCGTATAAAGATCAAGGCTCTACTGATCAACAGGGATATGATGCTGGGCAAGTGATCCACCCTCTATGTGCCTCAGTTTTCTCATCTGTCAAATGGGGACAATGATAGTGTTCTTCGCATGGTTTTGTTGGATTCAACAAATTAATGTATATACAACAGTACCTGGCACATTGTTAGTGCTTTTAAGTGTTTTCAGTGACTATTTCCGTTTCTGAGTAGCTCACATTGAGTTGAAATCTACCTATTAAGAAGGAGCTCAAGCTAATATGGATAAATTAAAGGAACTCTATGCCAAATAAAGAACAATTAGACTGAAATGCAGCTCTCTTCTTTATATTTCCACAGTATACAGTAATGAACATACATGAAGATTAAACTATAGCAGCAACTATCGTCACCCATCTTCACACTCATCAGAGCTTTCTTCACTTGGATCCTCAGTGCTCCCTCCTTCACTCTCACTATTGTCGTCTTCACTCTCGTCATCATCTTCCTCAAGATTTTGTGCTTTCTCTGCCACAGAAAGGAAGAGACTTGTTTAAAATATTTCTTAATATTTCTACCCTGAAAAATCATAATCCTCCTTGTTTCCCCCTCCATCAAGAAAGACATAGTTTTAGAATGTGAGAACTGAGCTGAGGGTCAAAGCAGTGGTACAAAGAACATATTTTTACTGGCATAAAGATGTTCGTGGATTAAAAATATATTTAAAACATTGGTCTACAAATTTTTTTTTTTTTTTTACTACTGTCAACTTCTTACTGAAATACAATAAGAGTAAAGTGAGATTCAGGGTAATGTAGAGGGTACAGACTTTGCTGGGAACCGTGGGATAACCTTTTCAGTTCCCGGGGTATCAGCAGGAACTGTTCCCTCTGGGGACTCTGTCAGTGCACAATACTGTCTGCCCAGGGGAGCCTGAGCTGCTTGGGCGGTTCCACCCCACAGAGGAAAGGGAGTCATCGTGACTATCCATAGAGGACAAGCTGGCTTCATGAAACCATCTGAGATAATCATTTCGCCTTTTCTTAACTACTTCCTGAGGATGCCAGTTTCCTGGGATAATGGATTTTTAAATAGTGACTGATCATAATTCTATGAGAAAGAAGGAATTTCAATTTTTAAATTTACCCAGCAGCAGCATTTCTTCAATCAGTGAGAAAAACTCCTTGGCCTCAGGATTTTCTGGTTCATAGATTAGGACTGCAATGGACAACAGAATGCGTGTTATTAATGTTCTAAGTGTTTCAGCCAACAACCTCTTCAGTATGAGATTGAAACTGTCAATCAGTTAAGTGAAAATGCACAAAGCAAAAACACCCACAATTATACCACAGGAACATCCAAGTGCAGAGAAAATGTTCTACTTATCTTAGGTACTTTGCAAGGGAAATAATCCTCATTATATTTTCTACCACCTGTCCAAAAAATGCAACCTCCATCACTGTGAGACATCCCTCAAAGGCTTTAGCCATGCTGTTTCTTGACTATAATCATTCCCCAAACAAGGTACAAATCCTGTAATACATGGAGACTTTGCTAATGACACCCAGTCATCACCTACTTAACACTATTCTCACCTCTTCATAGGATCCATTGTTTTTAAGTGCTATTTATTCCTTTTTGCTGATCCTTTATGTGAATGTGTCCTCTTTCCTTTGGACTAAATCAACAATGTTTTAGGCCTGTTGGTATGTCACCAATGTCCTAGAAGCCAGAAAGCTTTATACCTTTTGTTTCAGAGTTTTATACACTAGTTAACTTATTTTTTCAGATCCTGCTCTACTGATCTCTCTCTGGGTTCTTACCTGCCTTGAGGCGTATTCATTATTCTGCATCATCCATTGAATGCTGTGACTTCTGTGTAATATCTTGATGGCCCCCAGGGGGCACTGAAACATCAAGTGTGCTATTTGTGTGGCTAAGAGCAAGAATTGTGGGATGGTTCAACTAGGCCCCTGTGGCTCAGAGGACCTCACCCCATATGACTTTCATCCGGACACACTAAACCAATGTCTTTATTTTCTAATCCACTAACATAACAATGTGCCATCAATCTGGGTCAGCATGAGTGTGTGCCTGCTCAGAACCTGCTTTTAAGAATTCTATGGGTATTTATACATCTTTTAAGGCTTTAATAAAAGTGACTTTTTACACATTTTAACTTGAACTAAAACATGCTTATCACTAGCAGTCTAAATCTTTCTCTGAGGTTCAGCCTCTTCCTAGAGCAGAGTTTCTCCAACTTGCTCCTTGAGACACTAGTTTCTTAAGATGTTAATATGTATGTGGGAAACTAGGTTAAATGAAGTTAATCAAAGCTTACAGTAATGAGCAACTGCAGGATTTTATATAGCCATTAATATGCTCAGAACTAGTATGTATCTTACAGAGAAGAGAATATGGCTTCCCTAATTTATTATTACCTTGGAATCTTTCTTGGTGGAATATTTATTAAGCAATCTTGAAATAATATTCCCTGGAACACAATTTAGAAAATTTCATGCTGGAGTTAGGATTATTCCATGGGAATGGAGTATGGGATCAGCTATTTTCATGGTTTAACAAAAACTGCTGGCAGCTGTCAATTTTCAGAGTGAGGGAAAGTATCTTGTTTGAAACTCAGCCCTGTAATATCCGTCCCAGTGGTGGTGGGTTAGTTGCTAAATTGTGTCCAACTCTTGTGATCCCATTTACTGTAGCCTACCAGGTTCTTCCGTCCATGGGATTTTCCAGGCAAGAATATTGGAATGGATTGCCATTTCCTCCTCCAGGGGTTCTTCCCAACCAGGGATCGAACCCAGGTCTCCAGCATTGCAGGAGATTCTTTATCACTGAGCCACCAGGGATGCCCCCATATTCATCCTAGCTAATAAATAAAAAACTCTTTTTTACTTTTTGACAGGTCACTAGGGTTTGTAAAAAGGCAAGAGAAGCCCTTAGCACATGCCATTGGGGTTGTTTCCCAACCAGGGCCCATAAGCAGAGGCCAGTACGGACCCTGAAGAAGGACTGTCAGGTGAGAATCCTGGTTCTGCCACTGTCTAGCTGGGTCACCTTGGGGAAAGTATTTAATGTCTCTGTACTGCAGTTCCCTTATCAATAGTAACACTACTGATCACATCAGGATATCTGATGAATAAAGGAGATAATACAGACAAAGTACTTAGTTTAGTCCTTGCTGCATGGTAAGTACTGAATAAATGTTGATTATTAGTTTTCCTGGAGTGACTCTGGGCCTGGAGAAAGGCTTGGTTCCTTCCTAAATGTGCAGCAGATGCTTCCTTCCGGCTGAAGGGCTGAGGCAGGGAGCTGGGGCTGGGGGTGGGGCAAGCTCTGAGTTCCATGGGGCTCTAAGGCCGTCAGACGGCAGGCAATTTTAGGGTAGACAGGACGCTGGTCTTGTTCACTGTTGCAGCTCTAAGAGAGTACTTGACAGAGCGGGAGACCTCAAAACATTTAAAAAAATAATGAATAAATAAATATAGATGACTGAGTAGGAAGCAGTCTTTTATGCCTTGATAAAATTATACCCCAAGAAAGGGTGATTTAGTTTACTGAAAAAGAAATAGAAAACTTTACAGAAACTCTCTTCTGCAGCTATATCTGTTTTTGTGTTAGATGCATAACGATGAGAACCATTTTGGTTTTCAGGCCATTATTCTTAAACATTTACAAGTATTATAATTGATGAAACAGGTCTTCCAGGCTTACATGTTATTTTTGTAGAATCTCAGACTGCCTGTGAGCAGAAGTGTTGGCACCCTGAGACGACTCAGCTGCAAGTAAAGAGACCAAGAAATGGGAAAACTGACAGGAAATCTCACAGTCAATCATGAGATGAACTAAGAAAAGTACCTGGTATTCCTGACTTTTAGTCTCATTTAAAAACCACTTTTCCAAGCCTTTACCAGCAAAAGTTTTAGAAGAGTAGATAAAAAAGAAAAGAAACCATTTGCACCTGGGATGCAGGGTGGGAAGCCCTGCACCCAAGTAAAGATACAAATGACCATACCATGATTTCATGGCAAGGAAATATACCAGGAACTGGAGGCTATTCAAGAGAGTGAATTTGTAAGACACTGTTGAAGGGACAAAGATGTATTATTTCATATAAATTAGTTGCCTTAGATACAAATAAAAATATATATTGGTCAATTTATAGGAGCCATTTCAATCCAATTGATTCACAAAAGCACCTCTTTTTCAAGTCTCTGCCTGCTTCACCAGAAATATAAGCTTATTATTCAAATGAAGAAATGGAAATACAGCAAGAAATCTTACGCTCTCAAGTCAGACTTAGGATCTAGCTTTACCACTGGGAAGCTGTGTGACTTTGGGTAAATCAATTCTCCATGCTGCCTTCGCTTTACTCATTAGTAAAATAGGGTTAATCCTATCTGCCCCACATAACTGCTATAAGAATTAAAAACTGTATGCAAGAATGTTCCTATAGTAGGTGCTCAATACATACATATATAAATACATAAAAAGTAAATACATAATCTATGTTTACATGAGTAAATTTATACACATGAATATATATATAGAGAGAAAGGTGGACTGTTCTGTGGAAAAGTTAGACGATGGGGGAAAAAAGAATATCTATGCTGTAGAGAGCAGACCTGTGTTACCAAGGGGGCGAGGGGTGAGGGAGGGACAGGATGGGAGTTTGGGGTTAGTAGATGCAAACTATTATATACAAAATGGATAAACAACAAGGTCCTAGTGTATAGCACAGGGGGCAATATTCAATTTCATGTGATAAATTTTAGAAAATAATATCTATGCTCTAAGAATTCATATATAATATTTTTGGGTGCATGCTAGATGAAAAAAATTTGTTCTATTCCTCTGAACACAGAGAGGGACTTTAGGCAGCCCTCAGCCAAGCGTTCCTATTGGCATCAAAGAAATAACACTTTCTTTTCCGTGAGACAGTCTACAACTCTCCCTTCTTCCTTCAATCTGCCTGGCTTTGCAAAACCTGGGCTCCTCTCATTTCACGTCCTTGACTGGCAATCTGCATCAGGGGTAGACAATCTTACTTTGTACTCCCTGTGCTCTACCCCCATTCTCTGGGCCCTTTTGCCCACATTTCCCTCTTCTTCCTCTTGGGAGCAATTCTTTCTCATCTGGCTCCCTGGAAAATGGTGCCTATCTTAGGACCCTCCATAGCATCCTCTCCTAGAATTTAACCCTCAGGTGTAGAGGCAGCACTATTTGCCATGGGTAGAAAAGAGTGAACAGTATTACTGAATGAGTCAGTCAATAAGGGTGCAACCACACCAAACCACATCTGATGTCAACCCCAGAAGGGTTTAGAGCACTTTAGAAGGTATGGTCTGATTTCTGCTTTCTCTCCAGCTCCCAGCATAATGTCTGGTACAGAGTTAGTGCTCAATGTATATTGGCTGGAAGAAAGGAAGGGAGGGAGTTTTTAACGGAATATAATCCCATTAAGATAGATCAGTTTGAACTTTTTCATCCTCACTTACCTGGCACCTAATGCATGTGCACTGCATTTACTGAGGTCCATAAGCATTTTATTGAGCACCTGCTGTTTACAATGCAGGGCTAACAGCCAAGACTCACTGACAAATGTGGTAATGTCAGTGTTTATATTTCGTAAGCTTCAGCCAGAGGCTTTTCTAAAATAACTGATAGGTATAAAAAACAAAAGTAATATATACATTTTCCTACAATTAGACTCCACAAGAAAAACTCAGAGAATTGGGAGCTAGAGCTAGAGCATCACTCCTTTCTGTACCGGCCACACAGAAAAGAAAGGCAGTTGTGGGAAAAGGAGGCTTGGGTTCTGGCTCCAGCTCTGTCACGTGCTCCCTGAGCCGGGCTACCCATGCCGCTTAACCTTCTCTCTGCTGTGGTTTCATTAGTTATAAAAAGGGAGGACTGGACATGATTCTCTAAGGATTCTTTCTGATTGGAAATTCTATGTTTGTGGGCCACCAAAAATAGTTTTGATCAAACTATTTTATTTGATGGTTCTAAAGGTCAAAAGTGCCTGAAAGGATTAAACAAGGCAAATTATTCTGGATATAAAATAGGTAGTGTTAATGTACTCAAGAAATCAATTTTAAAAATTAGCTTAGTACTTAGGAAGTACTGTATCCACAGTGGGGACTCTGTGAGGCAGGGAAGAGTAGACACCACTTCCCTACACCACATTGTCACTAAAAGATTTTAACCATAAAACAGGTCTACAATAGTTAATATTTCAAGACCTGTCATTAATAAAGTTTAATAGTAGAATTGCCATTTTCTCCTTTAAAATAACTAAGACTAAGAAAGAGAAAAAGATGGGTAAAATAGTTGAAAAGATTATGGATTTTGACAGAGACCTGGAATCTTTCTCAACCACTAGATGGACTTTCTAAAAATTCACTGTATAGTTTTAACAGCACCCTGGACATAGCAAAAGATAGGATAAATTAATTTAAAAACAGGTCAACAGAAAATATACAAACTAAAGCATAGAAATAAAAGGAAATAGAAAAAACAGAGTAAAGACACATGTGGGACACCAAGGGAAAAAATCTAATTTGTGTGTAACTGGAGACCCAGGAATAGAAGAAAGGGACAGAATATGGCAGAAGTGATCTCTGAAAATTAATGGCCAAGAAATCCTCAAAGCTGATGAAAACATCAACCCACAGAGTTAAGAAACTCAGCAAATCTCCCAAACCTCTTTACTTAAATACAAAGAAAAGCACCACCATTTTGAACATCGAGTCAAACTACTAAAACCCAGATAGAAAAGTAACGTGGTTCATATCATTTACCTACTCATAAGTATCCAGGGGTTTCTCTGCTCACTTAGCGAGAAAGCCAAGGTCTTTAAGCTGTAGAAAGATGCTCTGCAGTCTGCACGGTCCCTGACCTGTTAGCTCTCCGACCTCATCTCCTATCACACGTCCCCTGGCTTAATCTGCTCCAGTTCTGCTGCCTTCCTTGCTGTTCTCGGTCAGGCACGCTCGGATATTTGCTATTAGTCCTGCCTGGAACACACTTTCTTCAGATGACAGGTCTCATTTCCACAACTTTTTCAAGGGTTTTCCCCTAGTCTTCCAGTGAGCATTCCTGGACCGTCTTACTTAAAACTGCTTTGCTTCCTCCCAGAGCTTTCTATTTCTTCTTCCCTTTTCCTGCATAGCACCTATTATCTATGACATGCTAATTAAATGTTTGTTGTCTGACACTAGATTAAGTATGGGATTATTTGCCCAATGCCTAAACAGCGGCACTGGCACACAATTTTTAAAATTTTTATTAAGGTTTCCCCAGTGGTTCAGTGGTAAAGAATCCACTTGCAATTCAGAAACATAGTAGACATGGGTTCGATCCCTGGGTCAGGAAGATCCCCTGGAGGAGGAAATGGCAACCCACTACAGTATTCTCGCCTGAAAAAATCCCATGGACAGAGGAGCCTGGCAGGTAGGTAACTCAAATATTTGTGGAATAATTGCATGCTAAGGAAGGCTTGTGATGTCACTCAGTCATGTCCAACTCTTTGTGACCCCATGGACTGTAGCCCACCAGGCTCCTCCGTCCATATGGGGTCACAAAGAGCCAGACACTTCTAAGCAACTTCACTTCTAAGGAAGGCTTGTTTTACTACATGACATTTCTTTGAAACTAAAGACATATGTTACTAACCCATTGTCATGAAGCTAATGATTTTGATATACCTTCTGATGGCATCCTTGTCAGGTTATCCCACTCAAAGTTACTCTAGAACTCTAACTTAAATTAGTCCTTAGACCAATTTTTACTATCAAGGATTCACCGAGACACTATGAGGGAATTCACTAGCTGTATGATAATCAAACCATCTTACACATTAGGGAGTGTATTTAGAAACAAAGAGAAGACTGGGAAAAGAGAAGTATTTTGTACTTACTCATCTGACATAATTTTTTTGCCAGATGGTAGTCATGGCCCATTTCTGCTCTCAGGAACTGGAAAACATTAAGAAATTCTTCAGCTGTGCAGTTTTACAGAGAATTTAAATGTCAGTTATAAACTCCCTAGAAAATATTCCATTAATGATTAATTCTTTTGCTTTTAACTTTTACACATGTTTTTCCAGGAGTGAGTCTGTAATCAATCAGTTAGTAAAGAATATTTAAGCACTTCTAATGGCAGGGCCACGGAGTAAGGATCTCACTTCTGTTTGACACAGCCACACTGTGCACACACTACCGAACAACCTGAGAATACTTTGATTCAACTGGCAAAGACACGAACACTTTAATATCCCTTACGTTCAGATACAGCTTTTATGAGTCCTTCATTATATGTATGCATACATTATATGTATGCATTATATGTATGCATTATATGTATGCATAATATGTATGCATAATTATTAGTCCATAAAAGTGAACTTAGTCCATAATTATATGACAATACAATTATGTATTTTCAATATTTTCCAATATTGATTGTTCTTATCCCATCTGTTTTTCCTTTTACTATTTTATTGTATTTTTTTGGTATAAAGTAACATTAAAAAATTTTTTTAATTGAAGGGTAATTGCTTTACAGAATTTTGTGGTTTTCTGTCATACATTGAAAACAATCGGCCATAGGTACACCCATGTCCCTCCCTCCCAGGCTTCCCTCCCATTTCCCTCCCCACCCCACCCTTCAGCCTGTCACAGAGCCCCTGTTTGAGTTTCCTGAGTAATACAGCAAATTCCCATTGGCTATCTGTTTTACATATAGTATTGTAAAGTTCTATGTTACTCTCTCAATACATCTCTCCTTCTCCCTCCTCTCCTCCTACCTCATCCATAGGTCTGTTTTCTATGTCTGTTTCTCCATTGCTGCCCTGAAAATAAATTCATCAGTGCCATCGCTTCAGATTCCATATATATGTGTCAGTATATATTTATATTTTGCTTTCTGACTTCTTCACTCTGTATAATAGGCTCTAGTTTTGTCCACCTCATTAGAAGATTCAAATGTGTTCTTTTTATGGCTGAGTAGTATTCCATTGTATATATGTGCCACAGCTTCTTTATCCATTCATCTGTCAATAGACATCTAGGTTGCTTCCATGGTCTAGCTATTGTAAAGAGTGCTGCAGTGAACACGGATACATGTGTCTTTTTCAGTTTTGATTGCCTCAGGATATATGCCTAGGAGTGGGATTGCTGGGTCATATGGTGGTTTTATTCCCAGCTTTTTAAGGAGTCTCTCCATACCGTCTTCCGTAGTGGCTCTATCAGTTTACAGTCCCACCAGCAATGCAAGACTGTTCCCTTTTCTCCACACCCTCTCCAGCATTTATTATTTGTAGACTTTTTGGTGATGGCCATTCTGACGGGCATGAGGTGGTATCTCACTGTAGTTTTGATTTGCATTTCTCTGATAATGAGTGATGTTGAGCATCTCTTCATGTGCCTGTTAGCCATCTGTATGTCTTTTTTGGAGAAATGTCTCTTCAGGTCCCTTTCCCATTTTGGTTGCTTGCTTTTCTGGTATTGAGTTGTATAAGCTGCTTGTGTATTTTGGAAATTAATTCTTTATCAGTTGTTTCCCTTGCTATTATTTTCTCCCATTCTGAGGGTTGTCTTTTCACCTCGTTTGTAGTTTCCTTTGCTGTGCAAAAGCTTTTAAGTTTAATTAGGTTCCACCTGTTTATTTTGCTTTTATTTCCATTACTCTAGAAGGTGGGTCATAGAAGATCTTGCTTTATGTCACTGAGTGTTCTGCCTATGTTCTTCTCTAACAGTTTAATAGTTTCTGGTCTTATATTTAGGTCTAACCCATTTTGAATTTATCTTTGTGTATGGTGTTAGGTAGTGATGTAATTTCATTCTTTTGCACGGAGCTGTCCAGTTTTCCCAGCACCACTTATTGAAGAGGCTGTCTTTGCCCCATTGTATATTCTTGCCTCTTTTGTCAAAAATAAGGTACCCATAGGTGTGTACGTTTATCTCTGGGATCTCTATCTCGTTCCATTGGTCTGTATTTCTGTTTTTTGTAACACATTTTTCTATGTGTTATAAATTTTTTCTTTTCTTATTTATTGGGGTATAGTTGCTTTACAATGTTGTGTTAATTTCTGCTATACAACAAACTGAATCAGTTATATGTATACATATATCCCCTTCCTCTTGGACCGCCCTCTACCTCTTCATCCCATCCCATCCCATCCCATCCCTCTAGGTCACCACAGAGCACCAGGCTGAGCTCTGTGTGATGTACAGTAGGTTCCCACTAGCCATCTGCCTTATGCATGGTAGTATGTATATGTCAATTCCAGCCTCCCAATTCACCCCAACCCCTCTTCCTCACCATGTCCACATGTCCATTCTCTGCGTCTGCAGCTCTACTCCTGCCCTGCAAATAGGTTCATCTGTTGTATGTAGGAAATTTAAACGCTAAATAAACACACCCTGTCCCCAATTAAACAGCATCTGTATTTTTACCATCCAGAGAATTTTTTTTCTAGATAATTTTATTTAATTTTGGGGGGCTGTGTTGGGTCTTTGTTGCTACACGAGCTTTTCTCTAGTTGTAGTGAGTGGAGGCTACTCTCTGGCTGTGGTGTGTGGGCTTCTCATTGCGACAGCTCTTGTTGGCTGGTCACATGCTCTAGAGAGTGTGGGCTTCAGTAGTTGTGGCACGTGGGCTAAGTAATTGCGGCTCATGGACTCTAGAGCACAGGCTCAAGAGCTGTGGTCCACGGGCTTAGCTGCTCTGTGGCATGTGGAATCTTCCTGGACCAGGGATTGAACCTGTGTCTCCTGCAATAGCAGGTGGCTTCTTTATCACTAATCCACCAGGGAAGCCCATAGAGATGTTTGTTTTAAACATCTCCATGTACATCATTTTAGTATTTTTTTTTCCATAAAGGAACAAATATATATTTACAAAAACTAAGATTATTCAGTAACTTAAAAAAAATATACCACATATCATGTTCATCTTCTCCCCAGGGAATTAAACATTATTACACATTTTTTTACTTACTTAGGCTCTGTAATTGACAAATCTTCCATTATTATTTGGATAGCTTTTATTAAAAAAAAAAGGACACTAGACTTGGGGGACTGTTCTTATGTGTGACATTCTGAACTATTTACAAGTACACTAGGCTTACATGTAGGAATTCATTTGGTAAACAAATCAAGAAGGCAATCCTGGCATAGGAAACAGCGTTGGCAAAACATAGGAAACAGCAAAAGCATGGAGGCCTGAAATGTCACATGCAAAAACTGTTCACAAATGTTTACTGATAATTCTATGGAGGACAAAACAGTTTTACCTCACATGTTGTAGTATCAGAGTCTAACTTTTATTAATATTACACAACTTCACGTATACAGGAAGAACGTCGTAACAGTGCATTTTCATTTCCCCCCTTCTCATCCTTTGTATTATTGTTGTCACATGTTTTACTTGTACATAGTGGGTCCCTTGCTTTATCTGGGCTATAATTATATGTATGTTAGACCACCCAATAGTCTCCCCAAAGTCACTGATAGCCCTTTTTTCCCTATGTATTTTATTTGAGAAATTTCTAAGGCTATGTGTTCAAGTTCATGGTTTCTTCTCTGCTGTTACAATCTGTCCCCCTTCTTACACCCTCTGTACATGTGTGATATACACATACAATGCTATGTCCTATGCCAGGAATGCCATTTTGTTTACCAAATGAGTTCCTACATGTCCCTCCTCCTTTCCCTTTCTAAGATTCCGCTCTTGCCTCTTCTTCTTAATCCTTCCTTTACCCCCTTGTTTCTCCTGCTTCATTTCTCAATTACAGGACTCCCTGTTCCCAGAGAATTTTATGAACATCTCTACTGGCACATATTATAAATTGCATTAGATAACATAGTGTTTGTTAGTTCTCAAGGGTAAAGACATGTCTTTCTTTTTTATCTCTAAATATCCCAAGTAACTAGCATGGTACCAAGTAAGTAGAAAGTTTTTCTAAAAGAGGTCTTTGGAGAGTTTTATGACAAAACTTCTCTTATTCCTGTTTTTGACTTTACCAGAATAATCTGAGTCACTGCCAGAATATTCTCTCATCTCTACCCTCATGAAAGTAGTAACAAAGATGAGTAATCAGGTAAACATCTGTGTGTGGGCAAGGATATTTAAACTATTTTTTTAGTTTTCAAGGCTATATACTATTTAGCTATTTTAATATTTTTAAGTTTTTTGAGTTATAGAAGCAAAACTTACTTCTGTCATTAACTCTAATGGGGCATGAATATCCTTATTAGGGTTGCTGTCTTCCTCCTTATCTTCATCACTGGTATCCTCACCATCATCATCTGTTGATTCAGACAACTTATCATCGATATCCTCAGGGCAATGTTCATTATTTTTCTCCTGCTCTGCCATGAGTACATTTTTGCTCATTTCACCTAAAACAATATATATAATTTAGTAAATATTGAAACATATTCATAAATTTAAAATGGTCACTCCTAAATTATAATGTAGCAAATGCACATGTTACTATGTATTCTCCTGTCCTGGATTTTTTTTTTTTTCATGACTAAACAGCACTGCAATAAACTTATCTGATTTCCATTTCCCCAAAAAAGGTAATAAAACTGCTAAGTGAAAGAGGAAAATATACAAACTGATAATACTGAGCTGATGTTAGTGTTAACTGTTTGGTACTTGAAACTATAATAAATGGAAACCGTTTTGTTTATAAAGAATATAATTTTAAGAAAAAAATTCTTTTATCCATAGAAATATATTTCTTAAATTATTCTTATAGGAATATAAATGTAAAATAAAGACCTTGGGAAGTAAAAGTAAGACTAGAGAGGCTGAAAAGTAATTCTTCTTAGGCAGATATTCACTGTGTGAATACTTGAGAATAAAATTGTCCCTCTCCATGGACACACACACACACACACACACACATCAGATATATCTGAAGTGTTCTAGATATGACCAGAGGTTATATAACATCATTAATGATTTTTCTTAATGTCAACTCATAGATAACTGAAAAATAAAACATAAGCACTACTCTGACTACCCATTCAATGCGTGGCGCTATACTGAGCCCCGCGAACACTAAAATGTACATCATTGATCTCAGGGTACTCACTCACACTCTAACTGGGGAGTCAGAAACATAATGGATAACTGTAAAACAATATGACAGTCCAGTGAGAGAGACGTGTACCGGGTACCTGAGACAACACAGGAGAGAGGAGACACCCATTCCGGTCTGAATGGATCAGTTTTTCCAAGGAGAGGGGACAGCATGAACCAGTACACAAACAATGCGTAACACTTTGATGTGCTTATTATGGGTCAAAGTTGAGACTGAAATGGTGACAGATGTTGCCAGAGGGGTACAAGCTGGATAATGGATTCTAGTGGGCCGGGAGTCTTGGAGTTAGAACTTTATCCTAAGAATGAAGGGGCTAGTCATGAAAGATTTAAGTAGGGAAACAAGTATGATAAATTTTTAATTTCTGAAGGAACTCTTCGAGAGCAGGGTAGAAACTGTATTTTGAGGGCAGACCGAAAAAAAAAAAAAGACAAAAAGAGCAGGGAGAGAGGTGGTTAGGGAAAAAAACCCACCTTTAAAAAGTCCAGGTAACATTCTGGAAGGGGAGTGAGATGGAGAAACCATAAAATCTTTCAGTCTTTTGTCATTACCCTCAGAAAGGCTGTGACAAAATGAAACACCTTCACATTTTCTCAAGTCTTATAGGAGTCAGAGATGTTTGAAGATTCCAGGATTCTGTACGGATTCCCAGCAGTAATTTTACTGAATAAAACTGTGGAAGAGGAAACTTGCAGATTCCCACCTCTTCTGTTTCTTTATTTTGCATTCAGAGGCCTTATAGCTGTTAAAAAGCCAGCTCAAAATGAATTCTAATAATGGGAATTTTCTAAGCAGTTTTCAGACTGCATTTACTGACAACTCACAATAACACTTGCTGTATGACTACAAATATGCCAAAAGACAGCAAAAACTAGAAAATATTATTCTCAGGAACAAAATCCCCAAACAGACTCAATGGTTGTGTATATGTGTGTATGTCTTGCTCTTCGTCTAAACTGGGGAGACAGTCTTACATATTGGTTAAGAAGAAGGTTTGTTTCCTGAAATTCATTAACTAATTGAAATATGCTTATTCTTAGAAAATACATGTTGACTTAGGGTAAAGGATCATGAGATCTTTACCCCTTAAATCAACAGTTGCTTGTATATGAAGGGTTACTGGAGTATTTATACTATTTCTGCTCATTTTCTATAAGCTGAAATATTTCAAAAGAAAACATTTTAAAAAAAGTCCAGGTGAAAAAGATGGTTGATAGCACACTGTTAAAACAGGGATAGGAGGAGAGATATTAGAGAAATATTTAAGAGGTAAAATCTCCATGGCAGAGATTTTCCAAATTTTAGTAATTCTTATAACACTTCATCCATTTTGCCATATGAAAGTAAACTATACTATTTACTTAGTATCTTTTTTTAATCTACCTTTTTAACTTAGAAATTTTGCTAGATCATAAAAATTATTGGGAAGAAGTGGTTAAGATTCCATATTGCCAATGCAGAGAGCACAGGTTGGAATCCTGGTCAGAAAACTAAGATCCCACATGTCATGCTGTATGACCAAAAGATAACAAAAGTAAATAAAAAATTTTAAAAATTATACCCCAAATTGACAGAGGTATTAATAAAAGATAGAACAATCACAGCAAATATTATGCCATTACTCTTCTGAATACTACATATTAAATTATTTAATTCTGTCAACATCTCAATGAGGTATGTACTGTTTCTATCCCATTTGTAGATGAAACTGAGAGACAGGAGACAGGTTAAATAACTCACCCAACTTACCACCACTAATTAAGGTAGATCTGGGAGTCAGTTTGCCTCCAGAGTCCATATTCTTAACCACGTTCTTATTTTTTTTCTAATACACATTAAAATATACTACTATTGTAAAAAGTTTACCCTGTGTTTCCTAAAATTATCTCTTTGGGAAACACTATTGAGCTTGCCAACTCTTGCTCTGCAGATGAATTTCACAGTTTCAACCTGAACTTGTGCTACATCATCCCCTGCTTTTAGAATTCTGAGCGTGTGGGAAGTCTTGTGCGATGTCTTCTTTGATGGGGTGTGGCCATGAGCTACTTTAAATATGTAGAAACACTGGTGTTAGAAGGAAGAAAATAAGGAAACCCAGGAAAGGTTGACAGAAGACAATGTTAAGAAAAATCAGGCTCTGCCCCTCCAAAGAAAAAGTTGGGAAAACTCCTAATTCCAAGCAAAAGATAACGTCCTCAAAAGAGATACCCAGAGTGTGATGCCTGGGCTATTCAGGCCATCTACCTGTTTCCTTTACAGTCTCCGCCGGCTCACAACCACTCTAACCTTACAGTGTGTACCCAGCCTGTTCACAGACTCAACACACTGGTGTCATCAGAGATGGTCATAATAGGGAATTAAGAACTTCATGTGATGTCACAGGGACTCATTGAATTCACAAACACTGAGGATCATGAGAGAGGCTCCCTGATCCCCAGATTGAAGGTAGTCCTCCCTCTGCCATTTACATTATAGTACCCAGCCCAACCTGTCTTTGTCTTACTTGTTTGTATTATTATTATTTAATAGCTGGCTATCTATGTGAACCTCATAGGGGCAAGCATCTTTCCTTTTGATAACTATTATACCCACAGCTTCCAAACAAGTGTCTGGCACTCAGTAAACCACTGTTGAATGACTGGAACTTATTGCTTTCACAGGTATTTCAATCCATTCTAAACTTTAATATTCTATCGTTATCATTTTATGTAATATACACCCCTGGATCACACCTGACTGCATATCAGAATCATCCCATACATGAGTTTGAAAAATTACTGATTCCTAAGACCTGCCCCAGACTTAGAAGTTGGCAACATCCCAAAGGTCCTAAAGAAGGAAGGCTGAAATAGAAGCTACAGTTACTCAAATAAAATAAATGTTATTACCTGTGCTTTCTTTTAAGAAGGAAGATGACCATAGCTTAGATTGTAGATTTGTTTCTGTTTCTTTGTTTGAAATACTCTTTGAAGATATTCTATTTTTAGTATTTGAAGAGATTTTATTTTCAATATTTTTTGAAGAGACTTCCTTCCTAGATGTTAAAGTATATAGTTAAAAAATATTTTTCTAGGTTAAAATTCTGTTAAAGGTTCTATATAGGTTCATACATAAACACACATTTAATATAAACATACAGTATATCAATAATAAATAGCTAAAATGCAGTATCTTCTTTGTGGAAAAGCATTAAAAATAAGTTTTACTAATGTTTAAAATTCTGTTTCTACCAGGCATTTATCATCATGTAATGATTCTTAAAATCTTTTCAGAGTTAACATAGAACATATAAGCAATCTATTATATGAATGTCCCTGGCATATCATTACGATATGGTGAGATAAAACTATTTAAGGAATACTAGACTTTGGGTGTTTTTTTCAAGTCAGTTCTTACCATTGTTAAATGTTTATGCTTAGAGTCCAATGCTAATATTAACCCTTGCTCACAATATGAAGGAACCTGTTTTTTTAAATTAAATGGCTGAAATAAAGATGGGTTAATTTTCTCTTTTAGCCTTTAAGTCTGAAACCTCATGTCAACAGATAACATATTGAGACAGAGGATTTTTGTATGGTACACTGACAGGTACCCATGCTGGTGGAAAAACAACCCATGTTCATTTTTTATGGTCTTAAGATCATTTTAGTATGTCTTCTTTACTGAGTTCAAAAAATTCAACTTCTAGTTTGCATGACAAGATATAAAAAGATGTAAAGTATTATTTTTTCCCCCAAAGTTATGATGGCTCTGTTTTATCCCCATTGAAATATGACACTATAACATTAGTAGTTAAGTTAGTGGTTTTGCACAGTGATTTAGCAAATAGGCTGAACAGCTTCTTACATTCCTAATACTATGGGAGGGAATGGAACCTTTACTTCCCCAGTATATGCTGCTAGAGCAAAACCCCTCTCTGGTGATAAAAAATGCACAGCAAAGAAGATTTACAGTTGTTCTTCTTCTGCCCTCCTTGATTTTCTAATTGTGAAAGGAGACATCAAAGACAAAACCCTACATGTGAAAAGTTGAGAAGTCACGTAAGTATTCAGTTTCTAGCATGACAGAATTCTATTATGCCAAAGGTCACCACAAATGATTACTGGAATTCATATGCTTTAATATCTATTCCTTTTATCTATGAAAGGAGGGCTTTTCTCTAGATTAGATATACTACCTTTTTATTATTACAGAATTTCATTGAATTTAAGAGCGTCTATTTCTTTTTTAAAAAAGATTAAACTATAGTTGGTTTACAATACTGTTAGTTTCAGGAGTACAGCAAAGTGGTTCAGTTTAATATATGTGTGTGTATACATATATATTCTTTTTCATATTTTTTCCATTAAAGTTTATTACAGGATATTGAATATAGTTCCTCATGCTATACAGTAAATCCCTGCTGTTTATCTGTTTTATATATAGTGGTGTTTATCTGTTAATCCCATACCCCTCCACTTATCCCTTCCTTCTTTCCCCTTTGGCAGCCATAAATTTGTTTTCTGTGTCTGTGAGTTTGTTTCTGTTTGGTAAATAAGTCCATTTGTATTATTTTTTAGATCCCATACATAAGTGATCTCATATGATATTTGTCTTTATGTCTGATTTCCTTCACTTAGTATGATAACCTCTAGGTCCAGCCAAAGATACCACCTATTTATTATAAGACATACTAATATTTAAGAAAGAAAAAGCACAGTCAGTATAAGATGCCCATCAAATATAAGAAATGTTGCAATATGAAGAAACTATGCATGCTTCAGAATCTAGGAAATATTGTAGTTATATATTCACAAAGTTACATCCCTAAAGAGGGGAATTTAGCTAATCTAGTTCTGAATATTTGAATAGTATGAAATGCCTTTAATGATTTTAATGACAGAACATGGAGGAAGCCTGAATAAAAAGGGTACTACTATTTGGAAGCAGTGAACATGCCATAAAAACACATATGAAAAGGGGCCAAAGGTTCGACGGTAAAATATGAATTCATCCTCCGCTCACTTTCTGATAAACAGTCTTTCTTAAACACAGTTTCAAAGAAGAGGCCCAGACTCTAACCTCCTCTTCAACTACAATTTGTTGACTTCATCTGAGAAAGTGACTTATGGCAACAGTACCTCTAACCAATTAACATAAACAGATAACCAGTATACTCTAAAAGATCTGTTTTCTTTAAATACAGTTACAGTTGAGGAAAGATTAAAATTATTACTTTTTGGAAGACGGAAAGTACTTAATTTAGTATCTACTAAGGTTAGACAGTCAAGTTAAATATCCCACTGGAACATATTTATGCTAGAGAGCAGATAATCCAGGTTTTACAATTAATTAGAATGTTAAGTACATTAAATGTCCTCAAGTTTCTACCGGAATTAATAATTCTTTAAAGTTCATATTTTAAACTTTGTTTTAAAATTATTTATATTTATCAAATTATTTATATTTATATTCAGAGTGCCTGAAGAACTATGGACAGAGGTTCGTGACACTGTACAGGAGGCAGTGATCAAGACCATCCCCAAGAAAAAGAAAGGCAAAAAGGCAAAATGGTTGTCTGAGAAGGCCTTACAAATAGCTGTGAAAAGAACAGAAGCAAAAGGCAAAGGAGAAAAGGAAAGATATCCCTATTTGAATTCAGAGTTCCAAAGAATAGCAAGGAGAGATAAGAAAGCCTTCCTCAGCGATCAGTGCAAAGAAATAGAGGAAAGCAATAGAATGGGGAAGACTAGAGATCTCTTCAAGAAAATTAGAGATACTAAGGGAACATTTCATACAAAGATGGGCACAATAAAGGACAGAAATGATATGGACCTAACAGAAGCAGAAGATATTAAGAACAGGTGGCAACCATACAAAGAAGAACTATACAAAAAAGATCTTCACGACCCAGATAATCACGATGGTGTGATCACTCACCTAGAGCCAGACATCCTGGAATGTGAAGTCAAGTGGGCCTTAGGAAGTATCACTATGAACAAAGCTAGTTGAGGTGATAGAATTCCAGTTGAGCTATTTCAAATCCTAAAAGATGATGCTGTGAAAGTGCTGCACTCAATATGCCAGCAAATTTGGAAAATTCAGCAGTGGCCACAGGACTGGAAAAGGTCAGTTTTCATTCCAATCCCAAAGAAAGGCAATGCCAAAGAATGCTCAAACTACCACACAATTGCACTCATCTCACCCGCTAGCAAAGTAATGCTCAAAATTCTCCAAGCCAGGCTTCAACAGTATGTGAACTATGAACTTTCAGATATTCAAGCTGTATTGAGAAATGGCAAAGGAACCAGAGATCAAATTGTCAACATAGAAATCATCAAAAAAGCAAGAGAGTTCCAGAAAAACATCTACTTCTGCTTTATTGACTATGCCAAAGCCTTTGACTGTGTGGATCACCACAAACTGTGGAAAATTCTTCAAGAGTTGGGAATACCAGACCACCTTACCTGCCTCCTGAGAAATCTGTATGCAGGTCAAGAAGCAACAGTTAGAACTGGACATGGAACAAGACTGGTTGGTTCCAAATTGGGAAAGGAGTACGTCAAGGCTGTATATTGTCACTCTATTATTTAACTTATATGCAGAGTACATCATGCTAAATGCTGGGCTGGATGAAGCCCAAGCTAGAATCAAGATTGCTGGGAGAAAGAGCAATAACCTCAGATATGCAGATGACACTACCCTTATGGCAGAAAGCGAAGAACTAAAGAGCCTCTTGACGAAAGTGAAAGAGGAGAGTGAAAAAGTTGACTTAAAACTTAACATTCAGAAAATTAAGATCATGGCATCTGGTCCCATCACTTCATGGCAAATAGGTGGGGAAACAGTGACAGACTTAATTTTTGGGGGTTCCAAAATCACTGCAGATGGTGACTGCAGTCTTGAAATTAAAAGACGCTTGCTCCTTGGAAGAAAAGCTATGACCAACCTAGACAGCATATTAAAAAGCAGAGACATTACTTTGCCAACATAGGTCCATCTAGTCAAAGCTATGGTTTTTCCAGTAGTCATATATGGATGTGAGAGTTGAACTATAAAGAAAGCTGAGCACTGAAGAATTGATGCTTTTGAACTGCGGTGTTGGAGAAGACTCTTGAGATCTGCAAGGAGATCCAACCAGTCCATTCTAAAGGAAATCAGTCCTGAATATTCATTGGAGGGACTGATGCTGAAGCTGAAACTCCAATACTTTGGCCACCTGATGTGAAGAGCAGACTCACTTGAAAAGACCCTGATGCTTGGAAAGACTGAAGGTGAGGAGAAGGGGACGACAGAGAATGAGATGGTTGGATGGCATCACTGACTCAATGGACACGAGTCTGAATAAGCTCTGGGAGTTGGTGATGGACAGGGAGGCCTGGTGTGCTGCAGTCCATGGGGCTGCACAGAGTTGGACATGACTGAAGTGACTTAGCAGCAGCAGCAAAAGTCAGTGAGGTATAAATTTTGCTTGCTAATCTTGGTCTGTGTCTAAAGAGGCATTTACTTAAAGATTAAAAATGGGAATAGAAAAATGTGTCATACATTTTATAAAAGATAAAATATGATTATGGAATAACCTATAGATACTATTTTATCAACCTCAATGAGTTGAGTTCTGTGGGTTTCATTTAGCCATTTTCCCCACACATCTATGAACTTGAAAGCTTGACCAAAAAATCCAACAGATCGAAGGTCCACCATCTATAAGACTTTATCCAGCATTAAAGATACACTTTACTTTTACTGCTGAAAATGGTTTGTTAATTAAGTGCCATTTGTTGGGTAGACAAAATCTCTGACATACGGGATTCATGAGGAAAAGAGGAAATGAGTTATTTGGCCTCTGTGTACAGAGATGTGTGAAACTCTTTTTTATGGAAGTTCACACACTGCTTGTGGCCCAGATTAGAATGAAAACTCAATCAGAAGATTAAGGCAAAGAACTGGTGGGGAAAGAAAATGCCTAGATTTCCCTAATCCAACCTGGATAGAACCTTTCAGGAAATTCCACTTGCCAGTCAGACTGTGGAGCTGGAAAGAGCGTGGGGGAGTGGAATGCAGGCTACGCTGAGAAAATCCATCAACTCTGTAGGTCAGTCACACTGCTCCTCAGCATAGGTCCCCCATGGTTTTCTGTGTCCCTACTTGATCTTTTACTTTCTTTTCTCCAGAACTGGTTCTGTTTACCTTCAACTCTCGGTGAGACTGGGCTTCCCTTGTGGCTCAGATGGTAAAGAATCTGCTTGGGTAAGGCAGCTGAGTTACAAAGCCATGCACCTATGAAGATTACTGGCTATCTACCTATCCCTCCTTCTCCCCTACTCCAATTAATAACCAAACCAAACCTAAACTCTTCTCTGCAAGTGAAGTTAACAGAACATGATCATACTGCTCTTGCAAAAAGTAGTTTGATAACCAGATGCAATTATTAATGAGATCAAGAAAACTGGCAGCCACTTGGGCTTTCCAGGTGGCGCAGCGCTATAGAATCCTCCTGACAATGCAGGAGATGTGGGTTTGATCCCTGGGTTGGGAAGATCCCCTCGAGTAGGAAATGGCAACCCCAGAATTCTTGCCTGAAAAATTCCAGGACAGAGAAGCCTGGTGGGCTCCAGTCCATGGGGCTGCAAAGAGTCAGACACACCTGAGCACACATGCATGCTGCTTTTCTTTCTTGGCCCAGACTGCATCTGATTTGCCCCTGGGGTTTAACTACCTCAGGATATGGGTTACCTCTTGCTCCAGTTCCAGTATTACTTATCACAGTCTATGAACACTGGGGTTCATAGACACAATATTTATTTTCATTAATAGCTACTAACTCATTATTATTAAAGGTATATCATATTTCCCTCAAAGACTACTAAAATTTTCTTAGATTTTTATTTAAATCTTTTCAACCATGTAATAGGATACATAATATATAATTACATTTAGATTAATATAGTTAATGGGGCATTTATCTTTTCCTTGTTGTCTATAACATTTACTCTGAAATAAGCACAGATTCTGTCATTGATCTGTAATATATTACCTTCTCTTTAATATAAAAACACATATTTACTACACAATTTGCAAGAGTCAAAGTGAACCCTAATTTTAATTTTCAGCTTTGACAGTATGTAAGTTAAAACATATGTTGTATAAGGTATATTTTTCCCAGCCAATAATATTCAGAATAATTCAAAATAATTTTGATTTGAATAGAATTCTACTAGAAGTGCACTACCAATTTGTCAATAATTGAACCCTATGAATGTGTTTTATGATCAACTTTCAAAATGCAATTTCTCATGGAATAAATAATTGATGTTTTTCAGTAGATAGATGATTATGTCAGGAAATAATGGACTCTGATGGTTTACCAGAATCAGTGCCTTGAACAAAGCAGGTACTTAATATTTAGCTACTAAATTGAAACTGGACTATGATTCTTTCAACACCAATCTTTTCAACTGGCTGGGGTGATTATTTTCCTTACTTAGTAGTAATTGTTCTTCTCATAGTAAATAAAAATCTGATTTTAAGGTAAATATTCCTTTAAAATGATATTCTCAAAGAAACAAGCAAGTATCAAAGTGAAACAAGAATAAGCAATGAAAGTTAAGTAAGTAAAATACAGAATACTTGGTGTTTAAGCAGTTGAGAAGTAGGTTTGAATATTATCTATACCCCTACATTTTTATCAAAATTCATTTTTCATTTTAAATATCCTCTTATCTAAGAAACAGTTGCTTTGACTGAAGTAAAAGCTAAGTGCTAATCCATGTGTTTCTGGCCTTTCAAACTTAATTGGGTGACAAATGACTGCATTATCTACTTCTAATTGCTTAAAAGGTATGATAGATCAGATGCTCAATGAGAGACATCTTCTTACTCTGACATTCCTTCATTTGGTTCAATCATCACTTTTTCTGAAAGAGAAGAAAAAAAACTCAACCCAGTATTTTATTAATAATGATGTTCTTAATAGGAATTCCTGACTGGCAAATATTTAGGCATTGTTTGAGTGACAGGCAGTGTAATAAAGGATTTAACTGCTAACTCAACCACACTCAACCATTCCTACAGACTATCTTCTTAATATTTAGGACAAAAGGGTGATCAAATATATTCTTTTAAAGTAATAAATCATTTACCCTTTGGATCAAACATTAGCAATCTGCCATTCTGTCTATCTTTTGGTGCCTATGAGAGAAGCAGAAATAAAAACTAGGATTATCAATATTATTTTAGCTTGAGGTACTTGAATAATTTATTCACAGCCTTTATATGAACATTTTTGTTATCAAGGCTAAAATATAGGGGGCTTCCTGATAACTCAGTTGGTAAAGAATCCACCTGCAATGCAGGAGACCCTGGTTTGATTCCTGGGTCAGGAAGATCCATCCACTGGAGAAGGGATAGGCTACCCACTCTACTATTCTTGGGCTTCCCTTGTGGCTCAGCTGGTAAAGAATCTGCGTGCAATGTGGGAGACCTGGGTTTGATCCCTGGGTTGGGAAGATCTCCTGGAGAAGGGAAAGGCTACCCACTCCAGTATTTTGGGCTCGAGTATTCCATGGACTGTACAGTCCATGGGGTTGCAAAGAGTCAGACATGACTAAGCGACTTTCACTTTCAGGCTAAAATATAATTTTATACTAAAGTCAATTATTCCAAAACTATATAAATTGATGGTAAGAAAGAATTAAAGCATCCTAAAAATTAGTTTGTATAGTCTTACCTATACAGCATCTGTCCTGTCTAGATGATTTCTGCAAAAAACCAAAATATTTACTCTGTAAGTCTTTAAACATTTTTATAAACTTGGAATATAAATAAAACAGAATGCACAACTCAGTCTGTCAGCAGGGCAGTAAGCATGTATTTTGGTATTGTTTTTAGTAGCATTATTTTCATACTAAGTGAAAAACATTATTCCTCTGGATTATAAAATCTGATTTTAAAAAAGCATAAAGAAATTAAAGCTTCCTCTTCCCATTTCACCTTGAAATGAAGTGAAAGTTATGAAAAACACCTTTATAGATGTATATTAGCCAGAACAAGAAGTTTTTCAATGATATTTCAAGATGCAGTAGTTTTAGTAAAATATTTCAAAAAACACATTTAGAAGTAAAACTTTGATTTTATCCAAAGATACAGTTTAAAATATAATTCTTACCTAATAAAAGTTCCCTTATGAGTTTATCAATACTTATAAGTTACAATGTTTTCTCTTAAAATGTTTTATCTTTTTAAAATTAGCCTATGTAGACTGATTTTCCTATAACTTAGTTTTTTATATATCTGAATACATTTCATTCTAATTGGAAAGAGAAAAATCAACTTTTAAGCTTTTTTTAAATTCACTTGCCCTTTCCACCCCAACAGTCTCCATATTCCATGCCAGGCTTTAAAAATTATTAGTAGTAATATCTAGGGATTTCTGGAACATAAAATTCAGGACCAAAACTGTAGACAATAAAAAGAGAAGCTTCATTATTTTGCATTAAGTTTCTCTCTTTTTAAATGTGTCTTCCTCACACTTATTTGAACTTGCAATAGTACACTTTTGCCTTAGGCACTGTTTTCTGGGGAACTGTGATCAAGCCAGACGTTATATATGTTATTAGTTTGATTATTCCTCTGAGAAGCTCACAGAGAGAGCCAAAGGATCTCAAAAAAGAAAGGCATCTTTTTGGGAAAACAGTTGTAGAAGACCAAGCTCTAGGATAAATGAAAGATTCTACTCTTGATTCTCTACAGCAGTGGAGCTCTGAAGCCAAAACAATGCAATAATGAACCAAGAAAGATCTTAGCAAAAGAAATCTAAGGTGACCTCTCCTGAGAGGTACTTACATGCCACAGATTCCCCCATCCTGTGGGTGCCCATGTGTCTGGGTCTTCCTATTGTATTTAGAGCTTTCCTTTCCCATGTTAAAAAGCCGAGACATTACTTTGTCAACAAAGGTCCATCTAGTCAAGGTTATGGTTTTTCCAGTGGTCATGTATGGATGTGAGAGTTGGACTATAAAGAAAGCTGAGCTCTGAAAAATTGATGCTTTTGAACTGTGGTGTTGGAGAAGACTCTTGAGAGTCCCTTGGATTGCAAGCAGATCCAACCAGTCCATCCTAAAGGAGATCAGTCCTGGGTGTTCATTGGAAGGACTGATGTTGAAGCTGAAACTCCAATACTTTGGCCACCTGATGTGAAGAGTTGACTCATCTGAAAAGACCCTGATGCTGGGAAAGATTGAGGGCAGGAGGAGAAGGGGACGACAGAGGATGAGATGGTTGGATGGCATCACCGACTCAGTGGCCATGGGTTTGGGTGGACTCCGGGAGTTGGTGATGGACAGGGAGGCCTGGCGTGTGCGGTTCATGGGATCACAAAGAATCGGACACAACTGAGCGACTGAACTGAACTGAACTTTCCCTTCTAGCTCTAAGGTCTTTATGGATTGCTACTTCCATCCTTTACCTGGACGAAACATCAGTGCATATAATTCACTTTCCAATTTCACCTGGAAAAGAAAGACCTAGGATATGCAGATCCCAGCCCTTGAGGGAAACCCCATCTCTGCTAGGTCTGGCTTTATCGTTACCTAGGAAATGTTCACTTAATCTCCTTTCATAAAACTGAACAAATCTTTGGGAGGCAGTACGAAGTAATACTCAAGAGTTGGGGGCTCTTTGGAAATAAACTCACACACCTATGGTCAATTAATCTATGACAAATGAGGCAAGGCTATATATTATGCAGAAAAGACAGTCTCTTCAGCAAGTGGTGTTGGGAAAGCTGGACATGTGCGTGTTAGTCGCTTAGTCATGTCCAACTCTTTGCGACCCCATGGACTGCAGCCCACCAGGCACCTCTGTCCATGAGATTTTCCAGGCAAGGATACTGGAGTGGGTTGCCATTTCCTTCTCCAGGGGATCTTCCCAACCCAGGGATTGAACCCGGGTCTCCTACACTGCAGGCAGATCCTTTACTGACTGAGCTACAAGGGAAGCCCAAAGCTGGACATACCTGCATGTAAATCAATGAAATGAGCATTCCCTCACACCAAATATGCAAATAAATTCAAACTGGTTTAAAGATCGAAGTTTAAGACATGACAACAAAAAAACTCCTAAAAGAAAACACAGGCAAAACATTCTCAGACATAAACCATAGCAATATTTTCTAGGATCAGTCTCACAGGCCAAAAAAAATAAAAACAAAAATAAACAAATGGGAACTAATCAAACTTAAAAGCTTTTGCACAGCAAGGGAAATCATAAAACAAAAAGACAACCTACAGGAGAAAATGTTTGCAAACAATGTAACTGACAAGGGATTAATCTCTAAATATACAAACAGTGCATACAGCTCAATACCAAAAATCAAATAACCCAATCAAGAAATGGATGGAACATCTAAAGACATTTCTCCAAAGAAGACATACAGATGGCCAAATACCACATGAAAAGATGCTCAACATCTAATTAGAGAAATACAATCAAAACTACAATGAGGTATCACCTCACATGGGTCAGAATGGCTGTCATCAAAAAGTCTACAAACAATACATGCTGAGAGGGTGTGGAGAATAGGGAACCCTACTACACTGCTGGTAGGAATGCAAATTGGCACAGCAACTATGGAGAACATTAAGGAGGTTCCTTAAAAAACTAAAAATAGAACTATCATATGACCCAGCAATCCCACTCCTGGGCATATACCCAGAGAAAACCATAATTACAAAAGATACATGCGGAGAAGGAAATGGCAACCCATCCCAGTATTCTTGCCTGGGAAATTCTGTGGACAGAGGAGCCTGGCAGGCCACAGTCCACCAGGTTGCAAAGAATGTCAACTACCAGGTTGACATGACTGAACAAGCACTACTACTGCTATTCTGTCTCTGACAGCCTTCAAGACATGATCCCAGCACAAGCAGATGTCACCCCTTCTGATTGCTAAGCTTACCCGAAGCTCCACCTTCAGTCTGGAGCGGCCACCCAGGAATACATTGGGGGCCCTTCAAGTTGCTAAATGGACTCTCCCATGCATGTCCTAAGGTCTTTGTTCATCTACAAAACGGTACAGAATCTGTGTGCAGGGGGCATTCCCTCAAACACTAGGGTGCCACTAAGGATGCTGCGGCATCCTGATACAAAATGAAGTCAGGGAGCCACATAGTGTGGGTTCTCATGCATTCCCACTAGTCTCAATATTCACTATCAGCAGGAAGAAAGGAGATTCCCACACACCTTTGTAACAGCAAACTGCCCACCACTTGGTGCCAACAAGAAACCACCACAACTCTGAACTCTCATTCTCCTCCAATGAGCTTTTGTTCAAAACAACCCTCCCCAGCTTCCTCCCAGAACCTAATAAAAGCCAGCCTTAAAAAAACATGCGTGTACCACAATATTCACTGCAGTGCTATTTACAATAGCCAGGACATGGAAGCAACTTAAATGTCCATCAACAGGGGAATGGATAAAAAAGATGTGCTACATATATACAATGGAATGTTAGTCATAAAAGAGAATAAAACAATGCCATTGGTAGCAACATGGATGGACCTAGAGATTGCCATACTGAGCGAAGAAAGTCAGACATAGAAAGACAAATATCATATAATACCACTTATAAGTGATATAAAAAAAAACCAGGGTACAAATGAACTTATTTATAAAACAGAAATAGAATCACAAATGTAGAAAACAAACTTATGGTTACCAAGAGATAATGGAGGGGAGGGATAAATTGGGAGATTGGGACTGATCTATATATACTTCTATATATAAACAGATAACTAATAAGAACCTGCTATAGAGCACTGAAATTCTACTCAATACTCTAACACCCCTAGGAGAAAAGAATCTAAATACGAGTGGATACATGTATGTACATAACTGATTCACTTTGCTGTATGCCTGAAAGCAAGACTACATTGTAAATAAACTATACTTCAATAAAAAATTGTTTTAAATGGGCAGAAGACCTAAATAGGCATTTCTCCAAAGAAGACATACAGATGACCAACGAGCACATGAAGAGATGCTTAAAATCACTAATTATTAGAGAAATACAAATCAAAACCACAATGAGGTTCCACCTCACACTGGTCAGAATGGCTCTTATGAAAAAATCTACAAATAATAAATGCTGGAGAGAGTGTGAAGAAAAAGGAACCCTCTGACACTGTGGTGGGGATGTAAACTGGTGCAGGCACTATGGAAAACAGTACGGAGGGTCCTTAAAAAAACTAAAAATGGAGTTACCATATGATCCAGCAGTCCCACTCCTGGGTATATATCAAGAAAAAACTCTAACTTAAAAAGATACATGAACTCCAATGTTCGTAGAAGCATTATTTACAAAAGCCAAGATGTGGAAGCAATCGAAATGTTTATCAACAGATGAACAGATAAAGAAGATGTGCTGCATATATACAATGGAATATTACCATTCAGTCATACAAAATGAAATAATGTCATTTGCAGCAACATGGATGGACATAGAGATAATCATACTAAGTGAAGTCAGTCAGATGAAGACATATCATATGGTACCACTTATATGTGGACTCTAAAAACATGATAAAAGTGAACTTATTTACAAAACAGAAAGAGATTCACAGACATAGAAAACAAACACGGCTACCAAAGGGGAAAGCAGGGGTAAGGATAAATTAGGAGTTTGGGATTAGCAGATACAAACTTCTATACATAAAATAAACAATAAAGCCCTACTCTAGCATCGGGAACTATATTCAGTATT